TGAATGGATCGGGGCTGAGCGCTCAGCTGCTGCCGCGTCTGGCCCAGTAGGGGCCGGCCGGTCCCCAAAAGGATTATTCCGCCTAGGCTGTCAAATGGGACGGAAGAAATGCCGGTGGCGAGGGAGGCGGGACCCGGCACCGCGGGGCCTTTGTAGCCTCCGAAAGTACGCGAAGTGGGGGGCGGGGTTCTAGGAGAGCTCGCTCTTGGATGTAAGGGTTTGGGGTCTTCAAAGCTCTACCTGGTGAGATTGCAGAGGTCTGCGACTATCAATATGCAGAGGACTATTCATGACCCCTCACCCCCAAGCATCACACACACACACACACACACACACACACACACACACACACACACACGGTCCGCCTCTCGCCACGCCCTGTCCAAAGTCTGTCTGATGCTCCCCAGCCCGGCTCTGCCTGGACAAAGCCAGCGCTCGAGACTGGCTCATCCATCACCGCACGGGGCGCCACGTCCTGCCGACCCTGGGAGTCCGGGAATGCTGTGTGATGGGTCCCACGGCCCCCATAACTCACGGCGGGGTCAGCGGGGCCACGGGCGCTGCAAAGATCAAAGAGCGGTGGGGCGGGACCGCCGCGCACGCGGAAAGCCGCAGTCTCGCCTGGCGCCCAGAGCTCAACCGTGGCTTCCATTTCAACTGTTTTGTTTTTTGTTTTCTTTCTTGAGAGTATGGCACATTGTGGCTCAGCGGCTTAAGAGCTCTGCTCAGGAGTCAGGCTGGATGCCTGGGCTCCTCTTCTGCTGCCATTCCCGTCTCCTTGGGCAAATCGCTTAACCCCTCTGAGCTTATTATCATCTCCAACTCTCAGGGTTCAAGGATTAAGGGCAAGGTCCTGGCTTCATAGGAAAGGCTCTAGAACAATCAACTGCTATTGTTATTGTCATAGTCTCAGCCTGATGGGCGGATTGGTGAGAGGGCTAGACTGCTTATTCACTGGAAGGTTTGAATCCCTTATCTCTTAATGCCTATTGAACACCTACTATGTGCCAGCTCTGTTCTGGGCACTGGGGCTACAGTAATGAACAACATGAACCAGACTCCCTGCTCTCATGGAGCTGACATTCTAGTGAAGGAGACAGATGAGAAGCAAGTGAACAAATATCTATATCATATGTCAGATGGTAATTAGTGCTTTAAAAAAAGCAGCATAAGTAGAGAAAGCATGAAAGGGGAGAGTTGTTTTACATAAGGTTTCGAGGAAAGTCCTCTTTGGTAAGGCAGTTTTTTAGCAAAGAAAATGAGGTAATGAGCCGTGAGGAGGAGAGTGATGCAAGAAGAAGGAAGAAGCAGTGCAAAGGTCCTGAGGCAGGAGAGTGCTTGGTGTTTGAGAAAGAGCAGCGAGGCTGGGGCACAGAGAGATGATGTCAAAGATGGAGAGGATCATGGGAGCATGCAAAGGCCATAGTTAGGACTTTGACTTTTAGTCTGAGTGTGATGGGAGCTGCTGGAGGGTTATGAGCAAAGCAGTGACGTGACCTGACTTGGGTTTTAACGGCCACTCCCTCTGAGTCCTAAAATTGAGAAAAGACTGTAGTGGGGCAGGGAGAAAAGCAGGGAGACCAATTAGGAGCTGAGCAGAGAAGAGGTGATGGTGACTTGGGCCCGGGAGGGGGACAGAAGCCATGATCCTCCTTTTCAAGGCTGAGCTGTGGCCGGGCATTTCTCGAACCAGCAGCAGATTACGAGATACTCCGGTTTGAAGGCTGCTGCTGTGAACCAGCAGGGAATCTGTTGCCGGGCTTAGACCCTCTGCTCCTTATGTTCTCCCAGAGCGATGCCGTGGGAAGAGGTGGATGTTAGGGGAGGCCTGGGCCCCTATTCCATCCAGGTTATGGTGACTCTCGGCCTCTGTTTTACCATCTGTAAAATGGGGTGGTTGAGTGGCCAAAGTGGAAACAACTCAAATATCCATCAACTGATGAACTGATCAGCAAAGTGTGGTATATTCATACAATGGACTGTTATTTGGCCATAAAGAGGAGTGAAGTACCAGAACACACCACATCTGGATGAATCTTGAAAACATTATGCTAAGGCATAAAAGCCAGACATACGAGGCCAGATATTGCATGATTAAGTTTATATGAAATGTTCGGAAGAGGCAAGTCCATAGAGACAGAAAGTAGACTAGTGGTTGCTGGGGCTGGGGAGTGACTGGATTTGGCCAGGCACTGGGTGAGGTGCTGAACTAAAAGAATGAATGAGGCGGGGCCTCTGCTTAGGGGTTGTTCCAATTGGCTGCTAATGTGTGTGGAGTTTTTTTCTTTTTGGAGCGATGAAAATGTTCTGGAATTAGACAGTGGTGATTGATGCACAACTTTGTGACTCTACTAAAAATCACGGGATTGCACACTTTAAAAGGGCGTGGCCTGTGCACCGAAGGGTCTCGGGTTCGATTCTGACCAAGGGCATGTACCTGGGTTGCAGGTTCATTCTGGCCCCTGTAGGGGCATGAGCAGGAGGCAACCAATCGATGTGTCTCTTTCACATTGGTGTTTCTCTCCCTCTCTCTCTCTCTTTCCCTCCCTCCTTTTCACTCTCTGAAAAGCAATGAAAAAAAAAATCCTCAGATGAGGATTAACAAAAAAGAAAAAAAGGGTGGTGGTGGTGAACCTTACGGTTTGTGAATTGAATGTTAATAAAGCAGTTATTTTTAAAAAGTGGCAGTTGAGCTGGATCAGGGTCTTTACCCTGTGGTCCAGGATGACTTCAGAGGGCCTGGGCACGCCTAACATTGTGGAAGACATTTAGTGTCTCTGTGCACTTGGGAAGAGGTTCAGGTTTTAAGAAGAGATGATCTTTAAGGTCTTCCTGACCAACAAGGGGTTAAGGACACTGGGGAGTCAGCTGACCCCTGGGAAGGGATGGCCAGTTGAACTCTGTCCTGGCTGAAGTGGTGGAGGGGCCCAGTGTTACTGGCCTAAGTCGGGGCTTTGGGTCTGCAGTGGGCAGTGGATCCCAGGGTCTGGGGCAGCTGCACAGGTCAGGCCTCACTCCAGCAGCCCAGCTGAGAGAGGAGAGGAGCTGTCTGTCTGCCGCAGTCCCTTGGATAGGCATCTTGGGCCATGATGATGCATGTCCTTCCTTAGGCACCTTGAAGGCTGCCTGGTGCTTTGGGACATGAAAATGAGGCAGGAGGGACACAACTAAGGATGTTTTGGATGGGGTTTTGAAAAGCATCATGGCTGGTCTGGAGTGTTTGCTCTAGGGCAGTGATGGCGAACCTATGACACGCGTGTCAGAGGTGACACGCGAACTCATTTTTTTGGTTGCTTTTTCTTTGTTAAATGGCATTTAAATATATAAAATAAATATCAAAAATATAAGTCTTTGTTTTACTATGGTTGCAAATATCAAAAAATGTCTATATGTGACACGGCACCAGAGTTAAGTTAGGGTTTTTCAAAATGCTGACACGCCGAGCTCAAAAGGTTCGCCATCACTGCTCTAGGGGCTTAGATACTGTGTGTCGATTTTAATATCGTTGTCATAACAGCCATTAATTGAGCATTTATGTGCCAGGCATTGTGCACTCTGTATTTTTACAAACGTTCTTCCATTTACTCCCGTCCAACTCTATGGACTTGTTGCTACTACTATCCCAGTTTACAGATGAGAAAACTGAGGTTGAGAGAGAGAAGCTGTGTCAGCAGCGGTGGTGGGAGGGAGAGAGCAGGTTGGATACACGAGCAGCGGGTGCGTGTGGGGGCACCGCGGTGAGCATTCCACATCCGTTGCTTCTTTTCGAAAGCAGCTCTTCTCTGCACACCACGCCAAAGCACTGAAGTCAAAGGTCTTTGCTCCTCGTCCAGACTGTTAGGATTTGAGTCAGGTAAGTGGCAATGAGCCACTGTCTGCCATTGTTTCGTTCCTCCATTCTTTCATTCACTCATTGGACACACATACATGGAGAACCTGGATTTGGCCAGGCACTGGGTGAGGTGCTGAACTAAAAGAATGAATGAGGCTGGGTCTCTGCTCAGGGGTTGTTCCAACTGGCTGGTCCCCGAGCATTGGGTGGGATTGTCACCAGGCTGTATGTGGCTGACTCTGTGACTCCCCCACCTCCCTGTGTTTGGTGTCCTGGGAACCTTAGGCAGGGGTTGGATCCATGATTTTGCTTGTGATCAGCCTGGTGGGTATGGGAGGGACTTTGAAAGCATCTTAGCGGTCTGGACACTGCTGTCTGTTGCTTTTCCCAGTTCACTCATTGTGTGCTTGCTCGGTGAACCCCAGGAACCCTCATTTGCCCATGCAGGCCTTAGTCTTTGCAAGGCCTTTCTTTGCAAAGACTTTGTTTGCATCTTGCCTTCTCTTAGTTTCCATTTAAATGTCCCCTGGGAGTGATTTTCTCTCTGTCCCCATTGCACACCCTCAGGGACCTGCTCCAGTTGGCAAATAAGCTCTCCCTCCTCCTAAACATCCATCCTTCCCTCCCAGACACCCTCCTACATATTGTCCTTATGGAGAAAAATATGCAAATAACTTTGAAAAACAGTCTCCCAGCAACCGGGTATTCAGAAATGTAATAAATTAACCCCATAATGTAATCTGGGTCCTTCGCCATCCATCATGCTGATGAGATTAAGATATGAAAAACCAGATGCTGCAGAGCCCCGTGGATGGAAATGACAGGCGAGTTTGCATAGAGCTCCCCTCCAGCCCCCGGTCCCTGCCCCAGCCCCAGCTTCTGGGCCCCCATGGAACCCAAGGCCATTAGAGGTTTAGGAATATCTGTCAAGCCTGTTCCTTTCACAAATGAGGAGAAGAGGCCTTTTAGAGATTAGGGGTCAGATCAGTTCGAATCCTCACCTGTCTCCCACCTGCTTTCCTCTGTTTATGGCTGACTCTGAATCCAAGCCCCAAGCCCAGGCATTTTTATCTATGGGTTTTGACAAAGTGGGCACCCCAGTGTCAAACAAAGGTCGTTGGGACCTCAGTTTCCCAGTTGGAAAAATGTAAGTGGTGGCTTGTGTGCCCCCGAATATTTCTCTGGAGTTCTTTAGCTGCGTGTCAGGATGGGTGGCTTGCACTGTGTCTTCTCAGGGCAGAGGGCCTGGCATGAGCCCTATGCTGCTCACACTATGCCCTGGAGGCCATCCCACAACAGTGGCTGGGCTCTGAGTTTCTCCACCTCAGGCCCCAATCCTAGGGTCCCTTTACAAGGAATCTCCACCCTAAAACTGCCACTTCCTGTCACCAATGAAAAAGCTACTTGAGCCGAAACCGGTTTGGCTCAGTGGATAGAGCGTCGGCCTGTGGACTGAAAGGTCCCAGGTTCGATTCCGGTCAAGGGCATGTACCTGGGTTGTGGGCACATCCCCAGTGGGAGATGTGCAGGAGGCAGCTGATCGATGTTTCTCTCTCATCGATGTTTCTGACTCTCTATCTCTCTCCCTTCCTCTCTGTAAAAAATCAATAAAATATATTAAAAAAGAAAAAAAAGAAAAAGCTACTTGAGTAGCCTCAGGAGCAAGCATGTCAAACTTGCGGCCAGCGGGCTGCATGGCGAGTCTGACATGCTTGCTCCAGAGAGAGGCAAAGAAGGATGTCCTCTAAGGATGTCCACTTTGCCCCGTGGCCAAAGCATCACAATAATTAAATCTCAAGGAGCCAGGGACACCTCCATAAACCAGTGAGCTGCTTGGCTGGCTCTGTGTGGAAACCGTCTTCTCATGCAAGGCATGATGTGAGCAGGCTCCCCCAGTCTGGAGAAGAAGTTGGTGTGTCTCACATGCGCCGCCTGGTGCATCAGTTTCTGGAAAAAAAAAATGATCCATCCCTTTGGATTAAGCATCAGGCATGATGTGAGCAGGCTCCCCCAGTCTGGAGAAGAGTTGCTGTGTCCCACATGCGCCGCCTGGTGCATCAGTTTCTGGGGGAAAAAAACCATCCATCCCTTTGGATTAAGCATTAGGGCCTGGCATGAGCCCTATGCTGCTCACACTATGCCCTGGAGGCCATCCCACAACAGTGGCTGGGCTCTGAGCTTCTCCACCCCAGGCCCCAATCCTAGGGGGCCCTTTACAAGGAATCTCCACCCTAAGACTGCCACTTCCTGTCCACCAATGAAAAAGCTACTTGAGCCGAAACCGGTTTGGCTCAGTGGATAGAGCGTCGGCCTGTGGACTGAGAGGTCCTAGGTTCGATTCCGGTCAAGGGCATGTACCTGGGTTGCGGGCACATCCCCAGTGGGAGATGTGCAGGAGGCAGCTGATCGATGTTTCTCTCTCATCGATGTTTCTGACTCTCTATCTCTCTCCCTTCCTCTCTGTAAAAAATCAATAAAACATATTAAAAAAGAAAAAAAAAAGAAAAAGCTACTTGAGTAGCCTCAGGAGCAAGCATGTCAAACTTGCGGCCAGCGGGCCGCATGGCGAGTCTGACATGCTTGCTCCAGAGAGAGGCAAAGAAGGATGTCCTCTAAGGATGTCCACTTTCCCCCGTGGCCAAAGCATCACAATAATTAAATCTCAAGGAGCCAGGGACACCTCCACAAACCAGTGAGCTGCTTGGCTGGCTCTGTGTGGAAACGGTCTTCTCATGCAAGGCATGATGTGAGCAGGCTCCCCCAGTCTGGAGAAGAGTTGCTGTGTCCCACATGCGCCGCCTGGTGCATCAGTTTCTGGGGGAAAAAAACCATCCATCCCTTTGGATTAAGCATTGCAGTTTTATGAAATGCAGACTTCCCTTGGGAACTGCCCAAACCCATTGTGGTGATGCCCATACTTTCTTGGGCATCAGGGCCCCTGGGGAGCTTGTTAAAGGGCTGGTGCCATGCTGTGCACACAGACGGATCTGGTAGGTCAGGGAGGCCACGGCTCCCAGTGTTTAATGGGCTCCCCAGAGATTAAGATGTAGATTTCCAAAGACTCCTTTTGAGACCTGCTGTGCTGGCATTCCTGGCTTAATGGGCCAGGTTAGGTATTTTTTTCCTCTGCCCCCACCTCAACGGAAGTGTGTAAATGAAGATTTGAAGGCTTCTGGGGTAAAAGGGGGGTACAGGTCCCCAACATTCCTGGCTAGATCTATGTACCCACAGATGAGTGTGACTGCTGACAAGCTCTTGTCAGTGGCAAGGTCTATGGCTTCTGGTCCTGACTTGTTTCCCATAACTCCACAGCCACTTCTCTGACCTTAGGGGCTGAAAATAAGTTGAATTCCTGGAGTTAGACTAGGAGTTAGAACTGGATTTGTACTCCAAATGTGTGATTTTTGAAAATTAGAGAACATCTCTGTGCCTGATTTACCATCTAGAAAGTGGGGCTGTATAATGGGTGCCTAGCTCCTAAGGTTAATGAGGGAATGGAAGAAATCAATGCTTGAACATGAGTGCTCAATCCATGTTGGTAATTATTTTAATATTAATCATTATCTCCCAGAGGCCTCACAGCCCTTTCAGAGTCCGGGGGTGGGGGGATGGGGCAGGGAGGGGACGGCTCCCGAGCTAGTGGCAGAAGACACCTCTGCCCGCCCTTCCCTCAGTAGCTGTGTGACATTTTACTTCACTCCCCTAAACCTCGCTGGCTCATTTGTAAAATAGGGACAATTACAGTCACTGTCGCGTAGAGTTGATGAGTGAGTTTAGCAAGATAATCCACGGACACATACAGCCCAGCGCCTGGTATATATTAAGGCCAGCGGTTGTTAGGGTGCATGGGCCTGGGGGGTGAAGCCAGGCTGGTGAGGTTCCGGGTGGGGGTGGGGGCGTTCCAGGTGCACCCGGGTCCTCCCCTAGCCCCGCCCCGGAGCCGGCGGATTAGCTTTCGGTTGGGCGGCTGCGTCCGGGAACCCGCAGGAGAAGTCGGAGCCGGCGGAAGATGTCGCTGTCCACAGTTCCCAGCTGTGACTCCACCTGCTCCGCACCAGCAACGCGTGCCCACCCCCTTACCGCGCCTCCTGAGCGAGAGAAATTCCCTGGGGAGGAAGGGTCGTAGCGATCCGACGAGGAGACCGAAATTGCCTTTTTTCGCGCCCACCCGAAAGTGAAAGGAGGCGGCGTGGCGCCCCGGGATCGCCTGCGCGGAGGCGTGGCCCCGCCCCTTTCCCAGCCCCGCCCCTCCT